GGGCAGCGTGTATGTGCAGTATTTGAACTTTTGCCAAGGTTTCCTTTAAATAAATGTTTGATCTTGGTTGATTGAGGATGTGTTAGGTGTCAGGCACTGTTCTAAGCACCAACATATTTATTAACTCTCAGGATGTCCCTGGTAGATGCTGCTATTAGTCTCATTTTACAGATGGGAAAACTGAAATTCAGAGTAACTCATAAAACTAAGTGGCTGAGATAAGCTTTTAATCCTAGGAGTCTAACTTGTCTCCCCATCGTGCACTCTTGGCTAGGGCCCTGTCCATCCCAAGTGTGTGTGTCCATCCCTGGCCACATAAGAAACTCACATTATGAGGGAGGACCCAAAAAACCTGGAATTTATTTATAAAAAATTGTATATTCTTACATGTTTAAACTTCAGTCACCTTCAAAGTACTCTCCAGTTGATGCAGTACACCTATTGAGTTGCTTTTCCCATTGCTCAAAACCGTTTTTGAAATTGTCAGTTTTGATGCTTTTTATTAGTGCTTCTGCCATTTTTTGTTTCATCTCTTCCACATTGGCGGAACATTTCCCTTTGAGGAAATTTTTCATCCATAGGAACAAAAAAAAGTTGCTCAGGTGAGATGAGGTCAATAGGGAGGTTGGGGCATAGGGATCATGCTGGTTTTGGTTAAAAACTGCTAAACACTCAGTGCAGTGTGACCAGGTGCAATGTCATGTTGGAAAAACCAGTAATTTGTTTGCTACAACTCAGGACGTTTATTGTGCAAATTGTGATGCAATCTTTTCAAAACTTCCAGATAAAAGCTTTGGTTGACCGTTTGATCCAAGTTCCTAGTATACTACGAGAAACCCATCTTCCAAAAGCTAATTCTGGGTTTTTTTGTGGTCCCCGTATGCTTTGAACAGTTTCCTTAACCCCAGCTGTGGAGCTCCAGGCTCCCTCTGTCCCCTGATTGGTCCCAGGGGTCCTCTAGGTGGAGGTGCAGAGCCTTTTTCCACCTGAACACTCTGGTCTGAGGGATAGAACCAACTTTCCCCTCAGATCTCTTCTATGATTGGCCATATGACCTCTGATGTGTGTATCACTGGAGGGTTGTGAGAAATAAGGGTTGGGAACTTATGCTGAGATGACTATGACAGTGAGATGGTGGGGACTTTTGGGGGCCACTGACTGTGATATTGTCTCCTCTTCATCTATGCAGGGAATGCAGCATCAATTGCTGATTCTGAAATTTTTTAGCTTTATTCGTGAAACAAAATCATGTCATGGTTTCAGCCATAGCTCTGTCCAGGGTGAGCACACTACATACATACTGCTAAGAAAATGGCCTTCTGAGTGAGTGCTTTTGCTGCAGTTCCAAGGACCCTGCTCTGTTCCTGCTTACTGCTAGCCTTGTAAAAAGCTTTTGCGTGGCCAGGCCTCTTGGTGCAGTGGTAGGACTGGAAGCTGTCTTCCTCTTATTGCTTGCATAGCTCATTGGGAGAGCCAAGGGCACACAGCTGGTGAGCAGCAGGGCTGGGTTTTTGATCTAGGTGAATTGGCTCCCAGTTTCTAGTTATTTTCTTTTGCCATTAGGAACCAGGAAGTGGCTTTGCTGAACTGGTAAATTCTCAGGAAGCTGAAAAGTGGTCACAGCACCTTGCCTTTGGAGTCCAGAGTTTTCTTTGGTGGATGGGAAGAGTGTGGGTGTTTCTTTACAGGTGGAAGCAATAAAAGCTCTGAAGTAAGTAGCTAGAGAGTTGAGGAACCTGCGCCTGACCTTGCCACATGCCTCGAGAGTGTTTTCCTCTACACTGTCAACACCTTGTCACACTTTGTAGAATTTGTCCCGCTGGTAGATTTGGCTTTTTGGTTAACAATTTTTTTTTTTTTTTGAGTTGGCATCTCACTCTGTCGCCCAGACTGGAGTGCAGTGGCCACTCCTGGCCACTGCAGCCTCAACCTGCTGGGCTCCGGCGATCCTTCCGCCTCAGCCTTCCAAGTAGCTGGAAATACAGGCATGCGCTACCACGCCTGGCTGATTTTTTGGTTTATTGTAGAGATGAGGTCTCGCTGCCCAGGCGGGTCTCGAACCTGCCGGCTCAGGCAGTCCACTCACCTCAGCCTCCCAAAGGCGCGGGATTGCAGGCTGGGCCACTGAGCCCGGCCAATTTTATTTTTTTAAGTTTGTAATTAGTGTAACATACTTTCCATCTTCACTAGCTAATGAATTTTCTTTTTCCTTTTTTTTTTTTTTGAGTTGGAATCTCACTCTGTTGCCCAGGCTGGAGTACAGTGGCAAGTTCACAGCCACTGCAGCCTCTACCTGCTGGGCTCCGGTGATCCTTCTGCCTCAGCCTTCCAAGTATCTGGAACTACAGGTGGGTGCTACCATGCCCAGCTTATTTTTTTATTTATTGTAGAGACAAGGTCTCACTAGTTTGCACAGACTGGTCTCGAACTCCCAGGCTCAGGCAGTCCTCCTGCCTCGGCCTCCCAAAGTACTGGGATTGTAGGTTGAGCCACCTCGCCCAGCCATGGATTGTCCTTTTGAAAAATAACACCTCCCCCGCCTCCAAAAAAAAAAGCTGGGCATAGTGGCTCGTGCCTGTAATCCCAGCACTTTGGAAGGCTGGGCAGGATAATCGCTTGAACCCAGGATTTTGAGATCAGCCTGGGCAACATAGCAAGACCTCATCTCTACAAAAAATAGAAAAAATTAGCCAGGCATGGTGGTCTACACCAGTAGTCTCAGCTACTCCAGAAGCTGAGGTGAAAGGATCGCCAGAACCCAGGAGGTTGAGGCTGTAGTGAGCTGCAGGCCTGGGAGATAGAATGAGACTCCCACTCAAAAAAAATAACACACACACACACACAAACTCCTTTTTTTGTTTGGAAATGATTTCAAACTTACAGAAAAATTGTAAGACCAAAATTAGTGCACAGAATGTTTGCATATGCTTTTTTCAGACTTACCTGCTGTTGATATTTTACCTTATTTGCCTTATCCCCAGCTTCCACGTATGTTCACCTGTGTATGCACATAGGTATGTACTCACAGTGGTGTTTTTTCCTGAACCATTTGAGAGTATGTTGCATACATCATGGCCCTTTACCCTTGAACGCATTGGCTGTTGCAGAGAGCAGGAGGTGGCTTCTCTTTAGCCCCACTCATTGCCTCACTAACACCTGCTGTGTGCCAATCCCTCGGCATGGTGGGAAGGTCTTGAGAGCTCAGGATGCTCTGTGGTTAAAGCTCAGTTTGGCCCAGGTGGGGTCAAGTTGATGTCACTGTGTGTCAGGGTTGTGAATTAGTTGGCAGTTCTGGTCTTAGGAATGAAGACTGTGCTGCCATGAATATTGTGCTGTTAGTCTGTGCCTTTCCTGTGCCTTCTCTGATCTGCTTCCCAGGCCTAGCTCAGGGGCACTTTTCTCACCCCTTCCTCCCCTGGCACTTCCTGAAGTACTTCTTAGCAGTAGTGGCAGGTGATCTGGTTGTGCGAGCTTCCTCTTAGCAGTGATAGGAGATGATCTTGTTATGCACCTATTCTCTTAGCAGTAGTGGCAGGTGTTTTAGCTGTGTGCTTGTCCTCAGTATGAGGGCAGGCAATCTAGCTGTGTGCGTGTCCTCTTAGCTGTGATGGAAGATGATCTTGTTATGCACGTATCCTCTTTAGCAGTACTGGCAGGTGATGTGGCTGTGTGCATGTCCTATTAGCCATGGTAGAAGCTGATCTTGTTATGCATGTTTCATTCTTAGCAGTAGTGGCAAGTGATCTAGCTGTGTATGTGTCCTCTTAGCATGCAGGCAGGTGATCTTGCTATGTGCGTGTTCTGTTAGTTGTTGTGGGAGGTGATCTTGTTATGCATATATCCTCTTAGCAGTAGGGCCAGGTGATATGGCTGTGTGTATGTCCTCTTATCCCCGGTGGGAGGTGCTCTGGTAGTGTGCGTGTCCTCCTAGCAGTGACAGGAAGTGGTCTTGTGCATGTATTTTCTTAGCAGTAGTGGCAGGTGATCTAATTGTGTGTGTGTCCTCTTAGGAGTGGTGCCAGTGATCTAGCTGTGCGCATTTCCTTTTCGCTGTGGTGTGGGAGGTGATCTGGTTATATGAGTGTCCTTTTAGCAGTGGTGACTGGGGCTCTAGTTGTTGGCCTTCCCCTACTAGACCAGGGCCTTTGACTGACAGGGAGTTCCTCAGCCTCTCTTGATCCTTGGCATTGGAAAGGACCCAGTTAGATTTAGTAGTTTCTTGACTCTTCAGTGGAGTGTGTCAGCGACAAAATTTAGGACCTAATAAAAACTCCATGACTGATTAAATGTCTTCCTTGTGTGCCTCTAGATTGTTTTCTCACCATGTGTCCTTGGTGTGCTTCTAGATTGTTCCCTCACCATATGTGTTTTTATGTTTGGGTGCTGAGGATTTGTGAGGATCCTTTTTCCCTGCCAGTCTGAAGTGCAGGTCATTAATCCCTAGAGACCAGTTTTCGACCAACAGTTTGCTGAACAGAGTGGTTTGTGGGCTTGGGGTGTGGTTTTTTGGTTTTTTTTTTCTCTAGCAGCATGTCCATGTAACCACTGTATTTTTGTTTCTGCAATGATTTACCAGTTGTCTTGGGAGGTTTATGAAAGCCAGTCCATCTCATCTGCCAATCCAAGCTGGGCTATGTGTCCTATCAATGTAGACATGGTAGGCCTTGGCAGGGCGAGTCCAAGCTGGAGGTGAGTGGCCTGGGAGCCTGTGGTTGGAGTGCAGTGGCTGTGGATCCAAATGTGCTGGGCCTTTTGGACACCCAACTGGCAGGTAGGAAAGCTCAGGTCTGTTTTTGCTTCAGCTGAGCTATCTGTCAAAGAAGAAGCTGGGATTAGATCCAGGCTGCTCACCCTGGTCAGTCGCAGGCAGCAGGTGTGGTGGTTTGAGAGCATGGACCCTAGAGCCACACTGCCTGGGATCTGGTCTGCTCTATTGCTCACTCTGTGACTTCTCTGTCTCAGTTTCCTCAACATCTGGAATGTGAACATCATAATAGAACTTCATGGAGCTGTTAGGATTAAAATGGGTAAGTATACAGTTCTAAAAAGTGTCTGATATAAAGTAAATGCTTAATTAGGTACACTGTTAGTGTTATCTATGGGTGGACTTTAGAAAGTCTGGGGAGCCCCCTGAATCTATAGGCGAGATTATGTGTGTGCGTGCAAGGGTGTATTTCTCATGAGAGGGCTCCCTCTGGGAGACCACAGCATGCAGTGGTTCTGAGTTGCATCTGTCGCCAGCGATTGCTCATGAAACTTAACTGTTCCAGTGGGATCAGAGGGAGTGTGTGTGACTTGCTGAGCACCCCCAAAACAGCCACGGCACTTTGAACAGGGCTAGGATTGTTCATACTGACACATTTTGCTCTTTGTCACGTTCATGTTGTGTTCCCTGGGCCTGGTCAAGCACAGAGTGGGCACTCAGAAATCAGTTATTGAACCAGTGCACAAATGGCTATTTATATTTTGACATAAAGAGCAATAGCTCCATTAGCCAACAGGCCTTGCAGCTGCCCCTGGTGGGGGTGTTGAGGAAGATAAGGGCCTGTGGCAAAAACGACTGCAAAAACAACTTTGGAGGATGGGATGTGGCGGGAACAGGAGTAAGGGGTGAGGTGGTGTGACTTTGGAGTCAGCTGGCCTGGGCCTCACTCTGGGAGGAGCTTGCTCCCGTGATGTGAGCTGGTTGTGAGGTGAGAGCAGGTGAGACCTCCCACCAAAATGAATGCTCACTGAAGTTTACTGGCTGCCCAGCCTGGGGTGGGGCTGGGGGCCCAGGGAGCTGGGGGGAGGGGCTTCCTCTCTGATGGACTTACATGGCACCTTGGCTTGGGAACTGGTCTGTCCCTGTGTGGGGATGCAGCTGAACCTTCCCTGGTTTTCACACATGCAGGTCGAGACCTGGCTAAGTGCACAGGCTGTACATATTCACCTCTTGGCCTTCTTTTTCTCCTTGGCCAGGTGTAGCCATTACTTTAGTCACCCTGGCCTGGTCATCATTCTTAGTCATTGCCCCTGCCTCTGTCAGGTCTTGCCCTAGACTAACTTCTGGCTGATGTCTGACTGACAGCTCTCAGTTTGGTTAGCTTGCTGTCTGTCTTCCTTCAGCTTTTGGCTGCTACCTATTGGACTGGACAGGGCTGAGGGCAGTGGCTAGTGGGGCAGGACCAAGAGTGTTCCCCAGGTTGACTCTGTTCTCCCCCTTGCCTTGGAGGTCTTGTTTCCTGGAAACTTTAGGAATTCATAGCTGTAGAGAGAATTACTTGGGGCTGGCCAGGGCGCTGGATGAGGGACAGGAGCCACAGCAGGGAGTTCCCCAAAAGGTCAGTGCAGGGGCAGTTAGCAGGAGGTGTGAGGTGCCAAGGCAAGGCCACATGCTTCCATTGAAACTGGGTCTGCTGGTGCAGAGGTCTTGCTTGTGCCACTGACTGCCTCTGTGGGTCCCTGGGTAGGTTAGTTTACCTACAGAGCCTTCTCTGTGATATTAGAAAACAAGATAAAGGGACCTGAAAGGGCTGGAGGCTCATTTGTGGTCTTTGCTGCAGCTCTTGGTGGTTTTTGGCCACTCTTGGCAGTGGAAGAAGTTCTTAGTATTCCCTCATCTACCCTATCTGTGCAAAGGATGCCAGCACAGACCAGCTTGGTGAGCCATGGGCCATGGAGAGAGCTTATGGCTATAGGTGATCTTGTTGGGATCATCTAGAAAAAAGATGTTGCTTTTTTTCACATTTATAAACATTCATACATAGACTATTTTACATAAATAGAGGTTTACATTAATTTATTAGTTTATCTATTTATTTTTGAGTCAGGGTCTCCCTCTGTTGTTCAGGCTGGAGTGAAGAGGCATGATCACAGCTCACCACAACCTTGACCTCCCACCTCAGCCTCCTGAGTAACTGGGACTATAGGCACGTACCACCATGCCTGGCCAATGTCTTTGATTTTGTGTGCGTGTGTGTGTGTGTGTGTGTGTGGAGATGAGGTCTTGTGTTGTCCAGGCTGGTCTCAAAAATTTCTGAACTCAAGGGATCTTTCTGCCTCACCTCCCAAAATGTTGGGATTACAGGCGTGAGTGAGCCACCATGCCCAGCCAAAATTTACTTTTAATACAAACTTAAAAATATACATATTAAAAAAAAATTTTTTTTTAGTTAGAGTCTCACTCTGTCACCCAGGCTGGAGTACAGTGGCAACTCACCGCCACCCCAGAGTTGACTTGCTAGGTTCCGGCGATCCTTTGCCTCAGCCTTCCAAGTAGACAGAACTACAGGTACACGCTACCACGCCTGGCTAATTTTTTTTCTTTTTTTTAATTGTAGAGGTGAGGTCTTGCCAAGTTTCCCGGGCTGGTGTTGAACCCGCAGGCTCAGGCAATTCACTTGCCTCGGCCTCCCAAAGTGCTGGATTACAGGCTGAGCCACTGAGCCTGGCCATTTTTTAATTTAACAATATGTTTGAAGATCTTTGTAGATCAGTATATATAACTTTACCTCATTCACTTATTTATTTTTTATTTATCTTTTGAGTTGGAGTCTCACTCAGTAGCCCAGACTGGAGCATAGTGGCATACTCACGGCCACCCCAGTGTTGACCTGTTGGGTTCCGGTGATCCTTCTGCCTCAGCCTTCCAAGTAGCTAGAGCTACAGGTGTGCGCTACCACACCTGACTAATTTTTTGATTTATTGCAGAGACGAGGTCTTACCAAGTTGCTCGGGCTGGTCTTGAACCCATGGACTCAGACAATCCACTCATCTGGGCCTCCCAAAGTGCTGGGATTACAGGCTGAGCCACCGAGCCTGGCTTACCTCATTTGAAAAAAAATCCTTGGCCATTGCTTTGTTAAACTCTGGTGTGTCTTTGTGGCTCTTTGAGCTATTGCCACCATGTTTCCTAGCCTTGGCCCCCTCCCCTACCTTGGGGTAGGTGACTCTCTCCTCTCTTTAATTTACCTTCTAAACTATGTTTTTAAATCTAACTTCTGTGCAATTCTTTAATTCTTTGTGTCTTTTACATGGCACCAGATCACACACACACCCATCAGGCCTGACCTAACATTTTGGGGGCCCTGCTGGGATTTTTAACCTAACATTTTCTATGTAGGTGGGATTGTGCCAAATAAGAAATTAAAAGTTTAAGCCGGGCTCAGTGGCTCAACCTGTAATCCCGCACTTTGGGAGGCTGAGGTGAGTGGATTGCCTGAGCCCGCGGGTTCGAGACCCGCCTGGGCAGCGAGACCTCATCTATACAATAAATCAAAAAATCAGTTGGGCGTGGTAGCGTGCGCCTGTAGTTCCAGCTACTTGAGGCGGAAGGATCGCCAGAGCCCAGCAGGTCGAGGCTGTGGTGGTCAGGAGCGTGCCACTGCACTCCAGTCTGGGTCATGGAGTGAGAGACAGAGAGAGAGAGAGAGAGAGAGAGAGAGAATGTGTATGTATGCATCTGTCTCTGTGCCTGTTTCTGTGTGTGTATGTCTGTGCTTGTATACATTTATACTCTTTTTTTTTTTTTTTTTTTTAGTTCCAGCCCAGCATTATAGGGTCTTGCTTGCTTTCCCTGTTACATATTTCTCCCTTTTTCTACAATGAGAACCCTGGCTCCTAACAGCATCAGTAGATTTTACTCATTTGTTGAACCCTGCAGTGCACACAGAGTAGCTTCAAAGGTGCTGCACCATACCACTACCAATAGCAAACTACTAAGTAGAGTTTACAGTTTTTTTTTTGTTAACTCTTTTCCTTTAGACTGATGGTACATACTTAGAGTATTGGGTTCCAAAGCTACTTGGATTATTTCTCTTCTTCCGTGTGTTTTTTACACAGATTCAAAACTGTGTTGATGTGAAACCACCTTTATTAAATAAAATATTGAGAGTGATATTTACTATAATGTTAGTATTATAACAAGCTTCTGTTTCATCATACTGATCTCAGGAACAATGTCTCAGAATATTGTATCCTCCTATTGTGCACCCCATCTGGAGGCACCTGCTGTCAGCTTGTCCCAGAAATGACAATGTTTACTTTGGGCACTTGGTCAAGTGGTATCTCAGTTTTGAATAGGCTGCATTATTTTCCTGGATAAACTTTGAAAATCACTTTTAGGAGTAGGTATACAGTTTTAACATGTCAACTCTCATTAGTATAGGCCGGGTGCAATGTCTCATGCCTGTAATCCCAGCACTTTTGGAGGCTAGGACGAGAGGATTGCTTGAGTCGAGGAGTTCGAGACCAGCATGAGCAACATAGTGAAACCCTGTCTCTACAAAATAAAAATATTAGCCAGACATGGTGGTACGTCCCTAAGAGTCCCAGCTTTTCTGGAGGCTAAAGTGGAAGGATCATCTGAACCTGGAATGTCAAGACTGTCATGAGCCTTGATTGTACCACTGCACTCCAGCCTGGGCTACAGAGTGAGACTCAGTATATATTGCTATGTGCTTAAAATATTTTCTCCATTATTTCTGTTCTGTAGTATGAAGAGAATTATTTATGTTAAGGAAATGATTACTTAGCATCAGTAAAAAAGAAAGGCCAAGTAAAACTTATAACAACTACATTCTTTAAATTTTAGCATTGGTAAATGCTATTTATTGATTCTTTGTTAACCTTAAAAATCTTCTGATGGGACTGTATTAGAAATTACTTTGTAATACTAACTGCAGTGTATATCCTGGATTGAATTCTGGAACAGAAAAAGTACATCAGTGGAACAGAAATGTATAAAAGTTAGCTGGCCATGGTAGTGCATGCCTGTAGTCCCAGCTATTTGGGAAGCTGAGGCGGAAGGATCATCTGATCTCAGGCGGTTGAGGCTGCTGTGAGCTGTGATCATCCTCATCGTGCCACTGCACTCCAGCCTGAAGCCTGGGTAACAGAGTGAGACTCAGACTTGAAAAAAAAAAAAAGTACCAGTGTCCAGTGTTGGGTTCTTAGTTGTGGTAGTACAAGGTGTTGTTAACAGTTGGGGACACTGGTCAGGGATATGTGGAATAATCTAAAATTATTCAAGAAGAAAAAATTTTAT